TTAATAACTTTAAAGTATAAGCATAAGTTTCATAAGTTTGAAAATTTTAACTTCACCTTAATAACTTTAAAGTATAAGCATAAGCTTCAATTAAAGTATATTATGAAGTTTTTAACCTTTAAAATTAAAATTTTGAAGATTTTAACCTTTAAATTAATGAAATCATTAACTCTCTATTAAGGTAAAAATAAAATATTTATAAAATTAGTTTTTTAAAATTAAAAATATTAAAATTTAGTTCCTAAAGTTTAAAAATTAAAAAAATATTAAATTAAAAATAATTAATAGATGTTTTTGCTATATATACGAGAACAGTATTAGATATCCATAATAAATCAAGTGATTAGTTTAATTTGAAAAAGAAATTCTAACTAAGATTAAAGAAAAAAATTTTAATTAAGTAAAACAAAAAATCCAAGAAATTAAAAAAATATAACTAAAAAATTTTCTTTAATCCCAGTCAAATTTCGTTCTTTAAATTAAACTAATCACTCAATTTGATTATAAATATTTAATACTGTTCTTAACTTCTCATATATGTTATAAAGACATCCCCTAATTATTTTTAATATATTAATTTTTTTAATTTTTAAACTTTAAGATTCAATTATTATATTTTTAATCTTTAAGAACTGATTTTGTAAATATTTTATTCTTGTTTTAATAAAAAGTTAACGAATTCCGTTAATTTGAGAGTTAAAATCTTTAAACTTTTAATTTTTGAGACTAAAAACTTTATAATAAAAGATAAAAAATTACAATCTTTAAACTTATTAAAGTAATAGACTAAACGTATACTTTATTCGGAAGTTTCCTCGCGTCTATATTGGAAAGAGGTCTGCGCGAGTCCACCCTTCCCATAAGTTTGCAGCTACTTTCCCATCCTTCTTAAATGTGAGGAACCTTATTGGGTAAGCTAGTAAGTACACGAGGACTATAATGGCACCTTTCCATTACAATTTCTTTTTAATAATGAAGCTGTCTATATACTCATCCTTTAAGTGCAAGTATAATTAAAGAGTTTTAATCATGAAAATAATGCATGAACCATTTTCGCGTAAAAATTAATTTCAAGACTAACTTTTATGCTATCATAAATTGAGATCATTCTAGTAGAAACCTTCTCGTCTATTGGTAATTAATTAATAGAGTTCGTCAACTAATTTATCTCTCATTTCTAAGGTATATATGACTTGTGTGGAATGGATAATAAAGAATTTTTTAGGGGATAATCGATTTGAGTTTTATTGTGTGTAAATTTAGTTGAATTCTTGTAATTTTATTAATAGTTTGGTTTTTACAGTGAGGTTATCATAAGATAATAGTATTTATCGGTCATAACTAGAAAAAAATTTACATTATTTAATTTTCTAAACTATATAATTTTAATAAACACGTGTTTTATTCTACTTGTACGTGTAGTTTTAATAAATACTGTTCCAACCCTTATCTTAAAATTTAAAAGGAAATTGAAATTTTTTTAATAAAATTATTTAGTTTTGACATTGGGACTATAGATTTTTCTGCAGCAACCAACAAACAATTCTCTTAAAATATTATATGTTGTAAATTGGGTAGTAACATGTGGCCACCTTAATTTCAATGTCTACCAATTTTTTTTTATATAATCTTTATATATAATTAAATAAATATATATAATATCATAAATAATATTTTTAAAATCAAACAAGAGATTAAATCGCTTTGATTTTCAATTTTTAACTTGAACAATTTAATTGATTTAATTAACTAATAAAACTACCAATTTAATCAAAATACTATAAATATATTATTATACATAATATTTCACTTCTTTTAAGGGATTAGGGATACGAGTTCCCCATAATTGACGTTGTTATAATAGTATTTTTGAAATTATAATAAATGTATTATAAAGCATAAAATTTCAAATAAAATACCATGTACCAAGTGAGAGAAGCTTCATTGTACGACATGGAGGATGGGAGTTTGATTCTCAAGGTTGCTATCAATAATTTGTTACAGTCTTTGAGATAAAAGTCTTACTGGATGCCTGAAAGGGGAATTGAATGAAAAGTTTTTTACCTGGTCAAACGGTTTACCAATTCATATCAGTTTGTGTGGTTTTAGTGATTTCAAAAGGTTAACTACCCAAATGGTTCTTTAAGGTCCACTTGAAGAATTTATACCATTGGATACCGGTTTAATTGGTCGAACCAATCAGTTCAATTCAATTTTAAAAATAATATATGATTATGAGTCATAATTGAGTGAAAAATAGTTAATTAATAAAAAATTATAAAATTATACAAAAATTATTTATTAATTATTTTTCAAGTAAATTAATTATGATTGTACGCTTATAAATTTCTATATGAAAAATTAAATACAATTTGAATTTAATTTGGTGGAAGTTAGGGAATTTGGCCATCAAGTGGCATTCATTACTCTTATGAAAGTTCACCTTCCTCTTATTTTTGGATAACGGTTCAATCTGATTCCATAACAATTATTATTTTTTTTTTTTGATCAGGTAGATGGTTAGGAAGTTAGTAGAGTTAGTTTGTTAGCGGCTTGAATTTTTTCAGGAAAGTGAACGTTCCACCCCTTCATTTGAGGCGCACGACCATTAAGTCGCAAGTTGATGGAGTTCACGGCAGTGGCAGAGCTTGAAGCCCTAACCTCCGCCTCACCCGAACCCTAAAGCTTGGAGGCCAACCAATTGAGCCACAGGCCGGTTGGGAATTCCATAACAACTATTAAAAATGGGTAGTGTTTAATTATATATATCCACTAGTTGGTAGCTAGTCCAAGTCATTACTCATACATACATGACACATCCATGATCCATCCTCTCATTATTATAAGTAATCTTTGCTTTCCTTTCGTCCCTCCTAACAGCTGAAACCAAATTGCTTCCCTCTTCTCTTACCTTTTTGTCTCCAATGGAGTTTGTCACTTTCTTTCTTCTTCTTCCTCTTCTCTATTCCTCCTACTTGATATGGAAATGGGTTGACGCGAGAAGAGACAAAGACTGCTATATTTTAGACTACCAATGTCACAAGCCAACCGACGACCGGAAGGTCGGAACGGAGTTCAGCGCCGAGGTTTTATTGAGAAACAAGAGCCTCGGACTCAACGAGTACAAGTTTCTTCTCAAAGCCATTGTAAGTGCCGGCCTTGGGGAACAAACCTACGCGCCGAGAATTATGTTTTCTGGGCGGGAAGAGTGTCCGTTATTGGCCGATAGCATATCAGAGATGGAGGAGTTCTTCGTCGACAGCGTCGAGAAGCTTCTATCCCGGTCCGGTTTTTCCCCTCAGGAAATCGACCTCCTCGTCGTGAATGTTTCGATGCTTGCCATCCTTCCGTCTCTGGCTTCTCGGATTATAAATCGATACAAAATGAGGAGTGATATTAAGGTTTATAATCTCACCGGAATGGGTTGCAGCGCCAGTCTGATTTCGCTTGATATTGTGCGAAGCGTTTTTAAATCGCAACGCAATGTGAATGCACTGTTGGTAACATCGGAGTGTCTGAGTCCGAATTGGTACGCCGGAAACAACAGATCGATGATCCTTGCCAACTGTTTGTTTCGCTCCGGTGGCTGCGCCATCCTCCTGACGAACAACCGGGCATTGAAGCACCGGGCCATGTTCAAATTGAAGTGTCTGGTGCGAACCCACCACGGCGCTAGAGACGAGTCATATGGATGCTGTGTCCAGAAGGAAGACGAACAGGGGAAGCAGGGTTTCTATTTGGGGAAAGACCTTCCCAAGGCGGCAACCCGGTCCCTCGTCGACAACCTCCGCCGCATTTCCCCCAGAATCTTACCGGTTCGCGAACTCCTTCGTTTCGCCATCGTTACCTTCGCCCGGAAAATGAACCACCGTCATGGCTCCACCACCAAAGTAGCTCCCACCACCAAATCTATGATTAACTTCAAAACAGGGGTGGATCATTTCTGCATCCACACTGGCGGGAAAGCAGTGATCGACGGCATCGGAATAAGCCTTGATCTGACTGAATACGATCTTGAACCAGCGAGGATGACACTCCACCGATTCGGGAACACATCGGCGAGTAGCCTCTGGTACGTCCTGGCCTACATGGAGGCCAAAAAACGGCTAAACAAGGGAGAAAGGATTTTAATGATAAGCTTCGGAGCGGGATTCAAGTGCAACAGCTGCTTGTGGGAGGTGATGAGAGATTTAACGGCGGCCGGCGACGGGAATGTGTGGAACGATTGCATTGATAGCTACCCACCTAACTCCTTGGCGAATCCGTACTTGGAGAAATATGGGTGGATCCAAAATGAAGATGAAAGCACCTTCAAAGTTCCAGAGGAGTACGTAAAATAGAAGGTAAGATAAACTAAGGGGGGAAAAAGACAGATTAATTAAAGTTTGAATACATTCTTCCATTGTATTTGTGGTTTAATGATTATTAGTTACTTGTTTAGACTCAGAATAAGTTTGTTATTATTGTTAAATCCCTGTGTGGGTTCATATTACAGCCATACGGGTGAAAGTTTTTTCACCCTAGATAATATTAAAATTTTCCTCTTTAGACAATTAAAAAAAGAATTTCCTCTTTTTTACTATATTACTTTTTAGTTATTTTGTTGACAATAATACTTAATTTGCATTATTGGATTTTAATTAAGAAGAATTTTTATTGATGTAAGGATGATAATTTGGGGTAAGGTTATAACTTATAACCACTAATTAAAATGTTAAGGCCACTAAAAATAGTAAAATATTGTTTTTAAAAATATTAATTTTGCTTAATTTAATTAATAAAAATTATTAACAACTATTACTATTAATTAATAACTAATAAAATAGTTGACATTTATTAGTTAAGAAGTTAAAATCAGTAGATAAATTGACATTTTTAAATACCATTTAAGAAAAAAACTAAAAAAATTGATGACCTTAATATTTTTTATGGTAACAATAACCGCACTCAATAATTTATGTAGATGATTGTATTATAATGATACAATCACATAAATGCTATGTATTACATGACTTGATTATATAAAATTGAGTAATAAGTTTCCC